AATAGAAATTCCATTTGACCCAGCAATCCCATTACTGGGTATATATCCAAAAGACTATAAATCGTTCTACTATAAGGACACATGGACACGAATGTTCATTGCAGCACTGTTTACAATAGCAAAGACCTGGAATCAACCCAAATGCCCATTGATAATAGACTGGATTGGAAAAATGTGGCACATATACACCATGGAATATTATGCAGCAATCAGAAATGATGAGTTCGTGTCGTTTGTAGGGACATGGATGAATCTGGAGAACATCTCCTCAGCAAACTGACACAAGAACAGAAAATGAAACACCGCATATTCTCACTCATAGGCGGGTGATGAAAAATGGGAACACATGGACACAGAAAGGGGAGTACTAAACACTGGGGTCTATTGGGGGGAAAAGGGGAGGGCCAGTGGGAGGGGGAGGTGGGGAGGGATAGCCTGGGGAGAAATGCCAAATGTGGGTGAAGGGGAGAAGAAAAGCAAAGCACACTGCCATGTGTGTACCTACGCAACTGTCTTGCATGCTCTGCTCATGTCCAAAACCTATAATCCAATAAAAAATTAAAAAAAAAAAAGAAAACTAGATATGTTAATATCCCAAAAGAAAACATGTAAACACATAAAACTGAACATAGTGAGATTCACACTTTGCATTTATTCATTCAACAAATACTTGCTGAATACCAACTGTGTGGCCAGGTATTGTACTCAGTGCTGAGAATCCAGCAGGGAATGAGAGAATCAATGTTTCTGTTCCCAAAGATCTTAATGGGGAAGATGGACCAAAGAGAAGAAAATAAATGCATAAAATAAATCCAAACACTAGTAGGTGCTATGAAAGAACAAACAAATGGTTGGAATGGAAAAACAATGGTAGTATATACTTTAGATAAAATGGTCTGAAAAGGAGATGGTAGTATATCAAGGCCTAAATGATGAAAAGAAGCCAACTCTATAGAAACTGGGGTAAGAGTGTTCCAGGCAGAGAGAGGCAGGTGGGCGAAAGGTGGGCTCTAAGAACTTTAAAAAGACCACTAGCTAAAGAGTGGGGAGGTAGTGGGGAACAGGATGAGGTTGGAACGAAAGAGATCAAATCATAATAAGGAATTACTAAATGTAGTAAGTCACAAAAATGTTTCAAATAGAGAAGTGATATATTTCAATTTACATTTATACCTTGCCACGGTACCAAAAATGGACTCAATGGAGGCAAGAGGGAAGCTAAGAGACCAATTAGGAAAGAGCTTTGGTAACCTTGCCAATAACTGATGAGGGCATGGACTGGGTTTATGGCAGCAGAGACAGTGAGAAGCGGACCGATTCAAGACAATTTTTTATAAAGAATATCAACAATATTTGTTGAAAGAGAGGAATCAGAATTTCTGGCTTAAGCAATGGAAAGGAAAAAACACAGTTGTAGATAATTGGTTGGAAGTAAAATAGGGAGAGGAACTGAGTTCCACAGTGCACATGCTAAGTTTGAAATGTTAAAACAGAGATGCCAAAGAGACTCTTGGATATGCGAGTCTGGAGGGTCAGAACAGAAGTCTGGACTGAAAACATAAATTTGAGAGTCATCAGGAAATACAGATATGGATTGTGCATGAAATTATGGATGAGTCACCTACACACACAAAAAAAGTTTTAAGTTTACAGTTCCAAACCTGGAGATTTGGGTAAAGGAGGAGGCCACAAAGATTACTGTGAAGCAGCAGCCAATGAAAAAAAGGAAACTAAAAAAAGTAGCAACACAAAAGGAAAGTCTTTCAAGGAGCAAATGACCCACACAGCCAAATGCTCAGGAAAGGGCAAGTAAAATAACAGAACGCGCTGGCCCCTTAACAAAAATAATTTTGGTAGAGTGAAAGGCTAACTTCAAGTTAAAAATTAGATATCTATTTATACCACACAAGAGAGAAAAGAAACAATAGCAGAAGATACATAGAGCACTCTTCCCTGCAACTTGCACCAGGAATATTCTCAATGTCCTCTCTTGCAGCTGTAAGAGTTAAATAGGTTTAAGTTGTTTGGAACAAAACAGACACATTGGTGCACAGGTAATGACTGCATACACAAAAGGATCAGCCTAAAATGAAGCACTGAATGAGAAGAAAAAAATATCTGTCTGATGTTTGATAAATCTGAATGCCTGTAAGAGGAGGTTGCTTAACACCGCCTTTTATAAATCTACGACATACACATTATTTTAAAAACCATGCCTACATACTTAGAAAAATACAAACACGGTAGTCCATGAGAAAAGTCGAAAACTGCTTTTAAAAATATATTTCTGATTTGAACTCTAGTGATGATTTCTGCACATCTGTGCTGTCTGGCTTTGTTTTATCAGCCAAAAATATTCTTTGGAAAAGAGAAAAAAAAGTCTGATAGGAGAAATACCAGGACAAGGACTGGGTGGAGTTAAAGGAGAGAGAAAATCAGCCAACACGCAATCTGGAGACAATTAGACCAACATTAACCCAGAAACAGTCAGAGTTCTAGTCTGCTTGCAAACATTTTATGCCAAGAGAAAAAAAATTCAGCAAATAAATCACTAAAGGACAGTGCTAGGGAGCTAAAGCAAATGAGAATTCTTGGAGTAAAGACCAGTTCTGGCTGACATCTTGTAAGATAAGATGATCATCCTTTCCCATTGATCCAGGACAGCCGTACTGATGTTCTAATATAATTATTACTAGCACTACCTTTGTTTCTTAAAAGTGTCCCTGTTTGATTGAAAATTATATGGTCATATTATTTATATGCCACACATTTCAATGACTGAAAAAACATATGTAGTTAATTACTAAATGACAGGCAAATACAATATTATAAACCATGGGATCAGAATCTACTCCTTTTTCATTTGAGCAAGGTCTCCTAACTCTCCTTAGAAAAAGAAACATAAAGTAAGCTGCATTTAAAAATAAGTGTAGGTATCATGGATGAAAATAGATAAAACATCTAAAATTCAGTTCAGAACAAAGTAATATAAGGTGCTTTCAAATGCTTCACAAACATTTTTTGGTATCTTTTATTTAGTGTTTATACTGATAAAAGCAAGAACATCAAATTAATGGTCTATATTTAAATCTCTCAAGTTGCTGAACAATATTTCAACAGACTTGCATATAATCAAGAATCCATAATCTTTCCTGTTTTTTTTTTCTCCAAGATGAGTAACCTAGATTAGTCACTCCATGGTGACTATGGAGTAGAAAGAGAGAAAATAGATTGCATTTCATGTACTACTTTGAAAGCTGATAAATTTCATCCAGAAAGTCATTCAGACTTCTATGTTGAACTAGAATTCAGATTACTATGCTTTCTGAAAGCCACCATGTTGTCTTATGCTAATGTGGATAAAGTGAAGGCTTCTATTTGCTGCAGTTAGTACAGAATAAATAATATTCTTGTAAAGGTTACCTGAATTGTAACTTCAAGAATTCAACCCATAACTTGTTTTATTCTTTAGCAAGAAGCTATCTCAACTCTCATAAATCCAAAGGCTATTAAGTTTAAAATTTAGTTTTTGATGGATCATGGACAATAACAGAATTCAAAATTATAGAACATGTAGGGCAAACCTGGACAAATCATTTAGCAAAATTAAAGATACTATTAAACTCTACCAATATTCAAGGACATTGTTAAGAGATCATCAAGATCAATATTTAAGAAGTACGATGAATTCTGGCATGTAAAAAAGCAGGAAATGTTATACGTTTTCCAACTATCACTGCTATGTTGCATTGCAGCTACTACCATAAAATCCTTTGGTCCTCCATTGCCTTAGCATAGTGCATTCCACAAAAATAACAGTTTCTTCAGGAAGGCTAAGTGGAAGCAAGCCTGCAGGATTGTGGTAATCACCTTTCAATAGTATGGATGTAACACAGTAAAAATCAGGAAGAATGATTATCCTCAGCCTGTAAATCCTTAGAAAGATAACAATAAACAAATCTGTAATCATTTTCAAGTATTATACCTTGCAATGGTTACTGCTGTGATCTCCCTTTGCCTTGTTAGTCAAGAACCTGGCTCCACTTGGCTCTAATAGAAATTCTACATAACACAGGGAAATGTTAATCAAAAGTATACAACTATAAAAATGTCCACTATACCTTCTTCTAGTTAACATAATACAGAAACTGCATTTTATACAATTAAAGCCTTTTGCTATTAACAAGCAATATGGAAATTTATCAAGTCATTATTAAATTGCAACAATGGATGGAATCAATAAAGATCACAATAAATTAGTGCAAACGAGTTTACCCAATGACTGCAAATAGGTTCAATAATATTATTCCACCATACCATATCTATCCACAGGTGAGACAGTAACAAATATTAGATGCGTTACATGTATAAGCACATAATAGATACAACAGATAAAATAACTATTGAAGACACTATATATAACATGTATACATTATAGGTATTTCAATACGTATATTAAAGCACACAAACTGAGATTTTAAGATTAAAACTGGCCGGGCGCGGTGGCTCATGCCTGTAATCCCAGCACCTTGGGAGGCCAAGGTGGGCGGATCACAAGGTCAGGAGATCAAGACCATCCTGGCCAACAAGGTGAAACCCCGTCTCTACTAAAAATACAAAAATTAGCTGGGCATGGTGGCGCGTGCCTGTAATCCCAGCAACTCAGGAGGCTGAGGCAGGAGAATTGCTTGAACCCAGGAGGCAGAGGTTGCAGTGAGCTGAGATTGCGCCACTGCACTCCAGCCTGGCGCCTGGCAGCAGAACAAGACTCTGTCTCAAAAAAAAAAAAAAAAAAAAAAGATTAAAACTATAAAAGGTTTGAAAGTAAATTTATTTTTAGAATATTAAAAGTAAAATTTATTAATAGCTTCAGTAATTTATGTGTTCTACTAGTCAAAATGATACATGAACAATTTAGATGCAATGTTATACTAAGGATAATTCTCTGTTTCAACTTCATTAAATCACTTAGACCAAAAGATAGATGCATGACATCTAACCTGTAGCTGTTCTTCTGGATGATACCATCTGATGTGTCCTGCTCTTCTTGAGCAGAAAATCCTAGAAGGTGCCTCCTTTGATTTGCCAGACTCACACTAGGGTTCATTCTCCTGGAATCCTGTTCCAGCATGCTGAAAATAAAAAACAGGAAATAACAGCTGAAATAAAAATAAAAATAAGTCACACATATGCCTGCTACATGCAGGTCTGAAACAAACCACAATTCTTCTGTAGATCCATGCATATAACAAAAATGCTAGGCACAGAAGTTCAAATACTGTACTGATGTGTTCAAATCCCTAGCTTGGTATCCTGCACATATCAAAAACAATTTTTATAAGTATGAAAGTAACTTATTGGCCAGGTGCAGTGGCTCACACCTGTAATCCCAGCACTTTGGGAGGCCAAGGTGGGCAGATCACCTGAGGTTGGGAGTTTGAGACCAGCCTGACCAATATGGAGAAACCCCATCTCTATTAAAAATATAAAATTAGCCAGGCATTGTGGCACATGCCTGTAATCCCAGCTACTTGGGAGGCTGAGGCAGGAGAACTGCTTGAACCCAGGAGGCAGAGGTTGTAGTGAACCGAGATCATGCCATTGCACTCCAGCCTGGGCAACAAGAGCAAAACTCTGTCTCAAAAAAAAAAAAGTACCTTATTTATAAACTGTTTAAATACTAGCAGTGTTATATATGCATTAAAAACCCTGTAATTACATGTGTATATGAAGTAGAAATAAATACAACACAGCTAAAAACAAATTTTAAACTCAGATAATAACTGAATTAAGAAGGCCTCCTGGATGGTGCAAACTGATGTTTTCAATGAGGGAATACGTTAAATGAAGTAGGAATTATTCTTTTTCTCATTGGTCAAATTCATCATTAGCCTTTCACAGTTCTAGAAGGTAGGCTATCAGATAAAGCTAACAAAATATTATTTTTAAAAACTTCTATTTGTATTTATATGTAAAAACTTCTATTCTTTCTCCCTACCCTCCCTAATATCTTCATTCATCAATGTATATCCTATTCAGAGGCATAAGCATTTGGGGAAAACAACAAAATATATACATATAAGCTAATACTGCATAGTTACTTAACGCTTTTTTTTTCTGAGACAGGGTCACGCTCTGTCACCAGGCTGGACTACAGCAGTGCAATCACACCTCACTGAAGCCTTGACCTCCCAGACTGCAGTGATCCTCCCACCTCAGTCCCTCTAAGTAACTGGGACTACAAGCATGTAACACCACACCTCCCTAATTCTTTTTTTTTTTTAATTCTAGTAGAAACAATGTCTCAATATGTTGCCCAGGCTGGTCTCAAACTCCTGAGCTCAAGCGATCTAGCGTCTTGGCCTCCCAAAGTGATAGGATTACAGATGTGAGCCACAGTGCCCAGCCTTAACACCTTTTTTTAAATTGTACTTTAGATTCTGGGGTACATGTGCCGGTCATGCAAGATTGTTGCATAGGTACATTCATGGCAAGGTCGTTTGCTGCCTCCATCCCCCCATCACCTATACCTGACATTTCTCCCCACGTTATCCCTCCCCACTCTCCCTCCCACTATCCCTCCTCTAGTCCCCTACAATGGACCCCAGTGTGTGATGCTCCCTTCTCTGTGTCCACGTGTTCTCAATGTTCAACACCCAGCCTATGAGTGAGAACATGTGGTGTTTGATTTTCTGCTCTTGTGTCAGTTTGCATAATGATGGTTTCCAGGGTCATCCATGTCCCTACAAAGGCCACAAACTCATTGTTTTTTATGGTTGTATAGTATTCCATGGTGTATATGTGCCACATTTTCCTTGTCCAGTCTATCATTAATGGGCATTTGGGTTGGTTCCAGGTCTTTGCTATTGTAAACAGTGCCACAATGAATATGCATGTGCAAGTATCCTTATAATAGAATGATTTATGGTCCTTTGTGTATATACCCAGTAATGGGATTGCTGGGTCAAACGGAATTTCTATTTCTAGATCCTTGAAATTCTATTGCCACACACTGTCTTCCACAATGGTTGAACTAATTTACACTCCCACCAACAGTGTAAAGGTGTTCCTATTTCTCCATATCCTCTCCAGCATCTGTTGTCTCCAGATTTTTTAATGATCACCATTCTAACTGGTGTGAGATGGTATGTCAATGTGGTTTTAATTTGCATTTCTCTAATGACCAGCGAATATGAGCATTTTTTTCATATGTTTGTTGGTTTCATATATGTCTTCTTTTGAACAGTGTCTGTTCATATCCTTTGCCCACTTTTGGATGAGTTTGTTTGTTTTTATCCTGTAAATCTGTTTTAGTTCTTTGTAGATTCTGAATATTAGCCCTTTGTCAGATGGGTAGATTGCAAAAAATTTTTCCCATTCTGTTGGTTGCCAGTTCACTCTAATGATTCTTTGTTTTGCTGTACAGAAGCTCTGAAGTTTAATTAGATCCCATTTGTCTATTTGGCTTTTATTGCCATTGCTTTTGGTGTTTTCGTTATGAAGTCCTTGCCTATGCCTATGTCCTGGATGGTTGTGCCTAGGTTTTCTTCTAGGGTTTTTATGGTGTTAGGTCTTATGTGTAAGTCCTCAAGCAATTACTGAGAAAGGTCAGGTCACCCACAAAGGAAAGCCCATCAGACTCACAGCGGATCTCTCAGCCGAAACCCTACAAGCCAGAAGAGAGTAGGGGCCAATATTCCACATCCTTAAAGAAAAGAACTTTCAACCCTGAATCTCATATCCAGCCAAACTAAGCTTCACAAGTGAAGGAGAAATAAAATCCTTTATGGCAATTACAGCAAAAACTCGATTTATGAAAGTAAGGTATGAACAAAATCAAAGTTAAGAACCTCCCCCTAAGTTTACAGAATCTCAATTAATTCAACCCCTACTGACCCCTCCATCGTATTAGTGAAATCTCCATATACTAATGTTCCTGTTTGGTGGAAGTACTTACTCCCTGGTCCCACCAATAACTTGGAGGAACTCTATCACACTAATTATTAAGAGTTTCCCCTGTTTTAAATGTGCTTCCTTTTTAAAAAACAAAAAACAAAAAAACCTTCCACCTTTTGATACTAGTTATGGATTCTGTGGCTATCCAGAACAAGTCTAAGCAAGACTTCTTCTAAAGTCCAGAGACATCTAACACCCCCTTTACCCCAGGTTTCCTTTTCAAGATTATAGTTTCGTGATTCTTTCACATGCTCCTCTTTACAGCACAGTCCGAGATTCCTTTAGCATATTTGGTCACTCTCCTATCAATATGCTCCTCAGAGGTGATGACCAGAATTGGCCATAGTACTTCTTAGGTAGTATGACCACTACAGAATGGAAAAGGATAATTCCTTCACTTGTTCTAGACACTGTTGTCTACTGACGCATTCGATTATCACATAGGCATTTCTGGCAGTTATATTACACTCTATTTACATTGAGCCCAGTTTAATTAAAACCCTAAGTCCTTTCTCACAAACAGATTTTGAACTATTATTTACTTCTCTTCCTATTCCACCTCCAACTCTGAAATTATGTAACTGAGTTTCAGGATCCAGCTGAATAATTTATATCAGTTATTTTTAAAACATTTGCCTACTAATCAATCAAGAACTTTCAGGCTCCTCATTAGGAAAAGAAATTCTTCCAAGAAAGTATCAGCATGCCATCAATATCCTCTACTGAGTTGTTATTAAAATAAGGAGCTCCTTTTAAATCTTTAAAAATGTAGGTTTATCTACTTATGAATTAACTGAAATATCACCCAGCCCAAAATTTCCCATCTTGATCACTAAGATATCACAAGAATGTGAAATGCTCTTCTCTGATGCAAATACAGTATATTTTAACAGAAGCTACTTCTTTCGAGTGCTAACTATGTACTATGAAGGCTCAAAGAGTTTAAACAATTTGCCCAAGATTATGCTCTAAATAACTAATAAAGTCAGGATTTGGAGTCAGGATTGGAATTCCATCACTGCACTATGTTGACCACATTTCCCAGAATGAATGATTCATCTGTTCATTTATTTATGTAGTAGATATCTATTATGTTCCAAGAACTATATTTAGTGCTAATGACTCAAAGATGAAAGATAAAAAGATCAGATTACAGATCTTCAAATAATACTGGTTCATGCAATATCATTTTGTGATAACACTGATGACAAAAAAAAATCAATTCCCAGCTAAGGTCACTGTCTGTGTGGTATTTGCATACCGTCCCCAAGTCTGCATGGGTTTCCTGTAGGAACTCCAGTTTCCTCCCACATCTCAAAGATGTGCATGTTAAGTTAACCGGCATATCTAAATTACCCCAGTATGAATGAGTGTGGGGAATGTGTGTGAGTGCACCCTTCAAAGGGACGGCACCCTGTCCAGGGTTAATTCTTTACTTGTGTGCTGAGTTGCCAGGATAGGCTCCAGCCATCTACCACCCTGAACTGAAATAAATGCACTGGAAAATGAATACAAGTCATTGTAAATAAAAATGTGTATGAATACAAGTCACTGTAAAATAAAAATGTGTACAGTATACAAGTTCATGACAATAAACGATGTATGAAAGCTCTCAGCAAGCCTGCCATATTTGTGATTGTTTTTGAACTGTGTGGTAGGAGGTACTCCCTTCACTTTGCAGACTTTAAACCACCACCACTATAAGCACTGTCACTCAGTGATTCACCAAAAACTGTACTAATAATTATCTTGTTGTTTTTTTTTAAATTTCTTATTTCCATAGGTTTTTGGGGAACAGGTGGTATTTGATTACATGAACAAGTTGTTTAATGATGATTTATGAGATTTTGGTACACCCATCTCCCTATACACTGAACCCAATTTGTAAACTGTTATCTTTCACACCCTTCCCCCATGAATCCCTAAAATCCACTGTGCCATTCTTATACCTTTGCCTCTTTATAGCTTAGCTCCCACTTACGAGTGAGAACATACGATATTTGGTTTTCCATTCCTGAGTTACTTCACTTAAAATAATGGTCTCCAATCCCATCCAGGTTGCTGTGAATGCTATTAATTCATTCCTTTTTGTGGCTGAGTAGTATTCCATTGTGTGTGTGTGTGTGTGTGTGTGTGTGTGTGTGTATCAGTTTCTTTATCCACTTGTTGATTGATG